ACTGCAGGGCAGATATTTCACAAACTGACTTATTGCAAAGGTAACATCTTATGACAGTGCCACGTGTAAAGTCAATGAGCTCTTCAGTACAACCCATTCTACCACCCTAGTCTGTCTAATGTGGACTGCATGACTATGTGCTTGATTTTATACTCCTGTTTGCAATGGGTGTAGCTGAAACACCTGAACCTAATAGTAAGATGGAGTGTCCACATACTTTCAGCTATATAGTGTATTCTGTGTAAAATGGTGCCAAGTGCCAAGACAGTGTAACTAAATTACACTGTGTTGCCCAACAGGTTCTAGCAATTAAGTTGAAAATAAAATAGTAAAATATCTTATCAATGTGGTAAGTACAAACAAACTTGCAGTAACTTTCATTGAAATGTCATAAGTTTAGGCAGCAAAGTATGTCAGAAACATCTCTAAGTAGAGACCACAGTAGGAATCATTGCATTCTTTTACAGTCCAGATTCAGGGTTTTTTCTAAGTCTTTGTACCACCTTTTCACTGCATAGTTTGCGTGACAGGTTGGTGTTGAAACCTGCAAGGCATTTCTACCTGTCATACCTCTGCTGGTGCCTGGGTACCAGCTGCAGGATCCTCAGCTGGAAGCTTTCCTTCAGTGAAGTTTCTTCCCTTTTAACCCATAACATCTCCCAGTGGTGGGGCAGTGGTCAGGGACGTCTCCTTGCAGCTGGATTTAGACAGACAGGTTCTTCCACTGTGTGGCTTTTTGATTCCTCCAGCTCTTGTCTCTTCTTCGCAGCCAGAACCAAAAACTTCCCTTTTCAGCTTCTTCCAAAAGATCTTTTAGGACTTTTCTGACTTCCACTGACATGAAGCCAATGTTTCAAGTGTTTAGGTGGCCCACTCACAAAGCTGCAGCTGCTGACTTGTACTGGATAAGTTGTCGCTCTCCAGGCTTTATCTCAGCATTCTGCCTCTAGTTGAGCATATTGGGACTTTTTTCTTTCATATGCTTCCTGGATGCCATTTGCCCATTAAACTGTCACAAAATATTTACATACGTGCTTTAGGATTTGTACCTCACACTTGTCCTGTTAATAATGTGGGACATCAGTCAACCATCATCAATAAAGAGGGGAAGCAAGGGGAAAAAACACACCACCACACTGGTCCAGGTATAAAGCTGCAGCCTATTTATAGCACTGAATTACTAGGTTGACCTTTAAGTTACAGACAGCCAGTTGGTGAAGGGGCCCACACATACTGATGAAGCCTGTTCAGTAGAGAGTATCCCAGCAAACACACAACACTGTCACAACGTTGCCTACTTTCTTACAGCACTGATACAACATTATGATAAGGCAGTGCTGTTTACATTGTCTGAACAAGGTTGTCACAACCTCATTATTAGGTAACACTTCCATACAGTATCATGACCACCTGTTGGCAACTTACCAACATTCTATAAGGAAACGTATGAGGATTCTAGAAGGTTGTGACGACTTATTGACAACGTTTCATAGAACAGGAGAGGGAGTGTGTTATCGCGAAATAACATCACGGCCGTGATTTGGTCGCAGACACGAGCCGAAGGCGAGGTGATGTTATTCGTGATAACACACGGCCTCGAGTGTTTTATTGCTTTTATGCAGCAGTTAAATAAACAAAGTAAGAAATAAATAAACTGGGCCGTGAACGTGGCATTTAATATGATTTAATGTTGGCAGTTCTTTCCGCCAAATTATAGTTCCTTAACAAGCAGCTTGTTCTTACGTCAGAGTAACGAACTCCGCTCACTCGCTGCACAGCCGGCAGTTCGCTCTCCAGCTCCTTACACTAAATTCTGAAACTGTCATTACCACTGAACAAGCTTTTCAGTCGGCAGCTGTGACAGAAGAACACATAAACAACCTGGAATTAGCCAGAAATTATACCATTCGCCAAACGTGTAGTCTCGTCGTCTTCTGACCAAACCGGACTGAGCCATAAAACTGCTGCAATATCAAGTTTATATCAGTTTTGTTTATTTTGCTAGATCAATATTAATGTTGTTTTGTTCCAGCAAGCCTTTAAAGCATCTTACAGCCCATTTTGTTTGGCGAATGGTATTCGGTTCATTTCTGGCTGATTCCAGGTTGTTTAGGCTGATTAGACTCTGTAACCTGGAGCGAGGGCAGTCAAATTGAGTAACTTCTATGATCTGTCTATATGAAATGTTTTTTTTTTTTTAATGTTAAAGTTATGCACTGGACAAACTGAACCATTTAATTCACTTGATTCAAATACATAATTTCCTCATGAATGACTAAAATATGTTAAACACCACTTTTTATGTCATTTTAATACAGTTTATAACACTAGTTTATGTCATATCAGTGCTCTAGTTACACCCCTGTCAATACCTTGAACCTGTTGGATGTTTCAGTGTCATTTACCTTGACTGTCTCAGAACTTAACATCATATTACCCAAAATAATTACCAAGTACTTGGGAGTTTGTACCTCCCACTTACCTGCTCAATACAAAGAACTTAAGCTGTAAAAGAAAATGTTACCATAATTTTAAAATTCTTTATGATTTCTTTATGATCCAGACTCTCCTTAATTAGTGAATTCAGTTACTTTAAGATGCGTCATTGCTAATACAGGTGTTAAATTGTGCACATAGTGCACATAGGTCATTATACACTGTACATGACATGGTTATGAATTATATCGTATGTTAAACTTCCCTCAGGTCAGCAGACTGGACAAGTTGCAAGTGTTGTGGAGTTCTCAGTTTGAAGGTTATTCACAGTGGACTTCCTGGCCATTCACAATGAAGGGTATCCAATGGAGAGATGTAAATTAGCCAGGTGACAGTGGGGCCGTTATTAACCTCTACCTGTTAGCCCTCCATGTCACTTTTCACAATGAAGACACAAGGAAACCCTGGCAAGTTTCCAACAATGCTCACAGAATGTCATTTATAGTGTTGAAGTTAGGGCAGAATAAAATAAGCAAGCTGTTACTGGAGTATATGAGAAAGGAATGTGGCTTAGTTTTTGCACAAGAAAAAGGTGCACATGCTGCGTCTTGGCTGTAAAGGTCAGGTGGGTACAACCAGCAGGAAGTGTTTGTAAGAGGACTTACACAGCAGGATAACAAGAAGTATCAGGAGGTGTAAAGAATCATTTCATTTCTTAACAGGTTTCTGTAGAGAAGAGAGAGACACAAACCTCTTGTGACCTCATGAGAACATCTCTAGTCTGAAGATATTGCTGTTTTGCTAAGCTGTTCTGCTACTTTTATCCCGTTCATGTTTCACATTCCTTTCAAATAAGAGGCCCCTGTTCAGTGATGTTGCAGTGTGGATTCTGAAAATGGTCGTTTTTTTGAAAAATGCAAAGTTCATTTTATTTTTTAAATATTGATTGAGTTAAGATCTTTGCAATTATTATTAAGCACATTCTTCATACTTCAGCAATAAGCAAGCTGGCATTCCTTAAAAGGGAAATCCACCGATTTTTCAACATTTTTGCATAATTAAACAGTCTGATGTATAATATGACCTTCTGAAGAACCAGAATCGTTCACAGCAATGACAGGAACCAGACATTTGAAGAGTTTAAAGCCTCTAAGAGTTACATCACAGAAAATTATTACATGAAATGGTCACACACACACTGCATAACAAGATATTCTTTTACAATAGTTTTGGTATAAAAACGTACTTTGTTTAGATCAATTCATGGTGAAGAGGTACATGCAGGGTGTCAAAACAGTCCCAAAAGAAAAGATACTTTTACAGATTTAGCACTATTTTATCATTATTAACATTATAAATGGAAACTCAGAAGGCAAATGTAGGTTTACTGATTGTTTTGTATAGACATCATGATCCTAGGTTCCTATCGCCAGAAAAGAAATCAGAGTCAGTAAGTGTCTCTGCAATGCAGCAGTTCACATCAAACCACATCAGACCACTCTGGATGAAGTCTGTAGCAATGTTGAAAAAACTGTCGAATTCCCCTTTAATACACCGATCAGGCATAACATTATGACCACCTCCTTGTTTCTATGCTCATTGTCCATTTTATCAGCTCAACTTACTATATAGGTGCACTTTGTAGTTCTACAATTACAGACTGTAGTTCATCTGTTTCTCTGCATACTTTGTTAGCCCCCTTTTACCCTGTTCTTCAGTGGTCAGGACACCCATGGACCCTCACAGAGCAGGTACTATTTGGGTGGTGGATCATTCTCAGCACTGCAGTAACACTGATGTGGTGGTGTGTTAGTGTGTGTTGTGCTGATACAAGTGGATCACACAGCAGTGCTGCTGGAGTTTTTAAACACTGTGTCCACTCACTGTCCACTCTATTAGACACTCCTACCTTGTCAGTCCACCTTGTAGATGTAAAGTCAGAGACAGTAGCTCATCTGCTGCTGCACAGTTTGTGTTGGTCATCCTGTAGTCCTTCATCAGTGGTCACAGGACGCTGCCCACAGGACGCTGTTGGCTGGATATTTTTGGTTGGTGGACTATTCTTAGTCCAGCAGTGACACAGAGGTGTTTAAAAACCCCAGCAGCACTGCTGTGTCTGATCCATGGGGGTCCTGACCACTGAAGAACAGGGTAAAAGGGGGCTAACAAAGTATGCAGAGAAACAGATGAACTACAGTCTGTAATTGTAGAACTACAAAGTGCACCTATATAGTAAGTGGAGCTGATAAAATGGACAATGAGCGTAGAAACAAGGGTGGTCATAATGTTATGCCTGATAATGTAAGTGCCCTTTAATAAAGGTTAGAAAGAGAACCCAAATGATAAATGTAACTGAAAACTACAAAACATGAATATTTCTGAGCATTAGTGAAAGATTTTAGCACTGCGAGTCACATTTTGGATTTTATTACACATTTAAGCCTATATGCTGCACAACTCAAGATGACAAGAGTTGACAAGCTGCAACCAATTAAGCTTGTAAGACTCACATGTCTCAGAAACAAATTAACAATAATGTAATCCATAATCAAAACACAGGGAAATGAGCATTCTTTTCCATTTATTTTTTTTTAAAAAACAACATTCACAACAGAAGTCACATCTATATAAATTACTACAGCGAACACAAGACACTTTAAATATAGCTCTGCATTTTTTTCCCCATTTAACCTTAAAAAATAAAAACTGTCCTAACTCAGATTTCCTCCTAATGTGTTGCAGTCAGATGCATTAAAATACAGTGAAATCATTCCAGACCTTTAGTTACACTCCTTTTGGCATGCTGTCCCCTGCTGGTCATCAGTATACATTGCAGAAAAGTCAGACGAAATTGACCGCATTCATGGCCAGGAACAAGCTACAGTTTCTGACCCTTCTTTTTTCCAGTATGCAGCTAATTATTAATAAATTAGTATCAGTGCCTTTTTAAATTTCTCCCCTAAAATTAAGACTAAAATGAACACAACATAGGTGCTGCCATCTTGGCCTCTCTTCCTACTATGATGAAATGATTATATTTCTATATCACAGCTTTTTTTCATCCCTTTTTTCACATATTCAGAGAAGCAGACAAGACTCCTTCACAAACTCAAAACAGGACTGAACACAAGACGCACTCCATTGCTCTGCTGTATAAGGTCACTACACCCACAAAACCCAATATACAGTACAGGCCCTCATCATACTCATCACTTTTAACTCACATGATACACAGACTTCTAAACAATGCCACAAATGGCTTGCTTAAAGAAAGAGATTGGAAACAAAACAGAGGTATTAGTTACAGAGAGTGGAGGGAAAGGACATGGCGAAGGCCAAAGTACTGCAGCTCACATCACAGAGATGAGCTATAGAATACAATATCCTCTCAGCTAGACTGGCAACACAGCTTATCCAAGCACTTTTCTATGAAACTTTACAATATTGCTAAATGATTAGAGCCCACAGTGATGGAAGAAACTTCAGAAAGCTCTTGGGGCCTTGGTGCTAATCTAGGGATAAACATGTAATGTTCAACAGAAACATTATATCACACACTGTGAGGGTAGCCTCAGATAAGCATAGAGGTGGTTTCCATATGCAGAGTGGAGAACACAATAACACCATGATTTAGCCAACATTTTGGTATGTTACCAAAGGACATTTTGGCTCCACAGACCAAGCCTCAGAATGGGCAAAGCCTCAGCTTGAGCAAATGTTAGGCAACTAGCTAGTGTGCTACCTAAGTTAGCTGGCTAGCCGAATCGTTGAGGTAGCTCAAATTAATGTTGGTTAAAAGTTTGTAGCACAAATTAACTATTTAAGAGAAAGTATTTTGTTAAGCAAAATAAACAAACAAAAAAACACAACTGCTTAAAATCACTCTTGTCATTCAGTGTGTTTCAGTTAGCTAGCTAACTACCTAATGTGGCTGGGTTGTAGCTAACCTTAACCCTTTTATGTTGAATGAGCTATTTACTCTAGCTAAGAAGGTTGGTGAAATGGCTAACCTTTACCTTTTTATTTTCCTAACGTTAATGTGAGCTACCTCACAAACATTTTTACTAGGTAGCCTTAGCCAACTCACTAGCTAGTTGACCAAAGTCAAAGTCCACCCAACCAAGGGGTTCTAAAGCTAAGGCTTTTCTCTTCCTAGTGCTTGGTCTAGAGCTGAAGCTAAATACTACCTATGTAAACTCCTACTAAAGCAACTGCATTAGAACAGGCAGTCAGCCAGAATGACAGAAGCATTCCTCAGGTCATCTGCAGGAATGAAGTATTATCTGCTTGACTGCTACCCTCCAAAGCAAAACTGAAGAGATTAAGCTCAGTTTTACTCAGCAGTTCTCACTGTGCAGAACTTGCTCAGCATTCCAGAACCCCTACCATGTTTGCTACTGAGCTGATATTGACACTGCCTGAGCTTTGATATTGACATTAAGGTTGAATCTATCTGGCTGTGCAGTATGGATTTAACATAACTCTGAAGGCAACTCTGCATGAGCACTGTGTTGCCTGGTGGTGGGGGGGCTGTGTAGCTGGTTGAGAACATATGAGGCCACATTAATCACATGGAGTCACTCACAGTGCTAGAGGGCTGAGCCGGGGATATGAGTCTTTCGGGGCATTACTGCAGCAGAAGCAAAAGACAGGACACACACACAAAAAGGTGCCAACAACCACCTTTCGGAGGACAGCAAGAAGAAAACAAAGGGGTGACACTATGAATCTTTCCTTTACCTCTCAGTCACTGAACTGAAGTCTGACCAAACGTCCCCCGACATTATTGAAACCAAGCCTCAAACACGCAATTAAAACAATAAAACCAAACTGAACACAAACAAAGAGAAATGAAACAAAAAAGGAGGTAAAGTCTTTTGGTAAGGAAAGGACTCTTTAGCAGGACGCTGCTCCAGTGTTTGTGTCCTACTCCACTGCACTGTTCTCAGTGGTTTTCCCTCAGTTATGTCCTGGGTTGCTCTGGGCCACTTGCTGCCCCCGCTGGCTGCCTTGCTCCTGCTTTCAGAAAAACATCATGCTCTGTTTTCGTCCTCAGAGTCAGTACCACACTGTAACCTCTAGTCAGATGGTTTCTCTTCTTGCCCAGCAGTCTGGAACTTGCCCCCTCTACACAAAGATCTCCTCTCCCTTCCAGCTCTATAGGCAAAGAATTGCTGCCTGAATCCCAAAGTGCAGAGAGTCAACAAAATTTTACATGGGGACAGGCAGGGAGTGGGGCTTAAAGGGTTTTTCCCATTAAAATAAAGGCTGTTTGGCGACACATACACACGCACACACACCACAGAGGCAGGATTTGAGGATGCACAGCCGATAAGCTTGTAAGGAGTAGAGGGTTAAAGAGGCCTTCTTGTGAAACAAATCCAGGAGTGCAGAGGTTGGCAGAAGGCATTGTGATGCAGGGCCCTGCTAATGTTGACGAAATGCATAGATCAGAATGTCACTGACGCAATCATGCACACGACTTCTGTGTCTAGCTCTGGACTGGATGAGTCAAGCCGAAGACAAGACACAGCGAGTGGAGAGTGACATTGCGGGTTCAGTATTGTTTCAATATTGTTTCAATATAGTTTGTGAGCTCAACAACACCTAGTTTTTAGACCCTCTAAGTTGTACCCTAGGTATATAGATCTGGTCAGAAACGCCCAGCTAAAGCAATCGATAAGTAAGCTTATGCTAGAACAACAGAAAACACTTCACAGCTTCAATCCAAAGCAGAGTGCAAACGACACTGACATGTCCCTGACCAAAGTGAGCAGCTCTCTCCAGCAGTGAACCACAGAGTGGACAGTGGCAAGGAACTCCCAAGGTTTTCCCTTAGTACCATACCACAGGGCTGGCGTAGTTAAATGACTTCAAAATGACCATCCACTGCCCGCAGCTCTGAGATGCGCGAGTCTGAAATCAAGATCTGATCAAATAAAGATCTACTGAGGAGTGTGTAAGCATGTGTAGGTGTGTTCTCAAGGGGTGGGCAAGGGAGAGAGGTTAGTGACCACAGAACACATTCTAAGGCAGCCTCTGAGAGGAGGAGCTTTAGGAGAACAAGATTGTGTGTATGTCTGAGTCTGTCTAAGGCCCTCAGCACTCCAGGGGCAGCAGGAAGCAGCGTCTACAGTCCACAGCTTTGGGGCTGGGCGGCTGAGCCCTCTTCCTTCTCAACTCCTCTCGACCCACAGAGCCACTCAGCCTGGCATAGGCAGCCTTATACTTCTTATCGAAAGCAGCTGGAATGCACAACAACAGAGAAACACACACAATACAGTAATGACCCAGACTGTTATTATTATATTCTAAAACCATTCTGTGTGCAGAACTGGGCTCGTGTTGGACATCAGTCTACTTACCAACATGGTCTTTGCCCATAGCAGCCAGAGTGAGAAACAAGAATTCCCTGTACAAACTCCTATGAACAGGAAAGGTAAATCAACAATAGGGGTGGGTGATGCAGCAAAAACGTAAATTTTAACAACAATTCATTAAGGTACACAACAATTCATTATGATGCACAATATGCATTATGACATGGTGTTGGAACTGAGAAAAAAGAACCAGTAGTGCTACATTTAAAAACTAAAAAAAAAGTACACTGTTATTTCAATTGTTAATTAAAATTCTTTAACTTCAATTAAGTATATATTTTTGTGTTATTGACTTAGATGTGATGACTTACGACAGCACATTCTAAAGTGACTAGTTGTTGACCGTACTGTATACTACGGCCCTTGTACCTGCCAATCTTAAGCCCTGTTCCTCACCTCTGTATCCGGGGAGTGCCGGGTTGCTTTGCGACAGTGTCCAGGAAGAGCGTGATGGCCTTGTGTACCTCGTTCATGCCAACCCAGCGCAGGACTTCCTCTAGAAAGCTCAGAGTGAAGGGGTGGTTGTGCCTGCGCCAGCTGTAATTACGCATCTGTACACCACCTAGACGGGAAAAGGTGGCAAAGCAAGGAAAAGATGTTGCCAAAGATTGTTACACCGAAGAGCTACTGTTACATTTTTGTATCTTTAATCAGTTTGTGAACTAACTTCTTAACAAGTGTCTTTTAAAGACTTAGTGCTTAGATGATACTTGGAGGCAACAAAAAATACAAATGGTCTTACTGTGTATTCTCCAGAGCACATAGAGAGGGGGCCAGTGATCCGTATCAGGTGTCAACGTGTCCCACAATAACTTCACCCTTACTGAAGTGTTCTCTGAACTCTGAGACACATTCAAACATGCACACACAACATATCTGTTATAGGATTCTCATAACTTATTTTCGCAGCATTTTTATGTGGACCATTACAGTTTTATGCAAAAGTTTGAACACCACCAGTCAAATCACACATTTTGTTGATTTTCTTAGTGAAATTAACACTTCATCTACAGGGAACAAACTCAAATATGGCATTTTCCTGCAGATTTCAGTGCATAGTCTCTATTTGCTGACTACAGTTTGGAGTATAACATATTGAGGAAAAAAAAACAAAATATAAAATGTGCTATAACTTTATCACAGGGCACATTTTATGTTTTCTCCAATATGTTGAATTCAACAAATAAACTGTAATTGTGCATTAAAATTTTCAGAAGTGTGTTCTCTGTAGAGGATGTGTTAACTTATTTACACACAGAAAATCAACAGGCAAATTGACTAGGGGTGTCCAAACTTTTACGACCACACTAATATAACAGTCTATGTAAGTGTGCACATGAGTGTGAATATTACCTGTGAAAACTGCGAGGCTAATGGTGACACCCGCACCAGCTGCAGCAGGTTGCTGGGAAGGCCGAGGCGAGTGAAGTACCACGCTAGGTTCCAGAATAGGATGGAGTGGCTGACCAGCAACTGGACCTGAGAGAGAACGCTCTCTCCCTCATTCTCCAACAGACTCTCTAGCTCCTTACGTAACACCAGAGGGCTCAGGTATGCCACCGTCACCTGAGGGGTCCCACCCAGGGATGAGCTCTACCCATACAAAAACATACACAAGCATTTACACAGGCACATCAGTGACTGTGGCACCTGCACGCTCTGAGTCAAAGGTAAACTAGTAGTTAAAGTAGACAGCAGATAAAGTCTTACCACAGTGTTACTGCTGCTCTCAGAGTATGTGCTGGTCTCTGAACTGGAGTCATGCTCATTCACTCCATTATGCAGGTGCTGCAGGAAGACATCAGGACCACCAGGGGGCCTCATTGCACTCTCCACCTCACCCTCCAAGTTTAAGTTACTACGTTCTAGACTGCTCATAGAAATACATAGCAGCACACAGACATAAGAGCCAATATATTAAGAAGCACTAGGCTTCACCAGTATCATTCTAGAACCAGTTCTGAAACATCCAACCTCAACCAGTTTCAGTAATGACCCTCCTCTGCTTCAAAAATAGTTCGGTCATGTGGTAATTGCCAGTGAATGAGTATTAACTTAAAAGTGCCCAAATTATACACCTATCATTGGAATATCTTGTCATTATCAAGCTTTCTCACAGTTTGAGGATGCTATCACAGATGCTAACTTAGAGGATGCTTAGTTGCATAAAGAAATGTATAAGAGAAGCTGCTCAACTTGTGTTTGAGATCCCAAACTGAAACTGAGCACTACAAACTGAATGTTCATTTGACCAAGCAGACCAAGCAAACTTTTAAGTAACATTTTCAGTGACTAAACCAAACATTGCTGTCAAGGTAAGTAAGAACAATGTTTTCCTGCTGGCTCTTCTTTGACATTTTACTCTCTACAAATAGCTCAGTAAATTTAATTGTCACATTTTGAATTCTGAAGCAACACCAGTTCCAAATTGGATCTGGGGTGCACAAGAGTTACCTGCTGACGGGCCCCATGTCACAGATCTCAGCATTAAGCAGAGGCACAAAGGAAGCTGAGCAGAAGGGGCAGCTGGTGTTAAGATTGGAGTCATCTGAAGTCCAGCCAGCCATTATCTCCTCATCGTACACTAGTGAGTTACAGCTCCGACATAGACTACAGCTCGACATCACCACCTATACAGGGAGAACAGTTGTACAAAACCTTCATAAACAAACAGGAAACCACTGTAATACTAACAATACTGAGTATACTATGACAACAATAGTTGTAAAATTGTATTTGAACAAATTTTTAGCATTCAATTTGATTTGACTTCAATTTAGTCTAAATGTTGCAACCTCAAGTGGCTGAAAATGAACCATGCCAGCATGTCACAACTGGTGACAGCAGAGGGTATTTGAGTTCAGTGCTATGATTCAGAACTCTCACTGACAAAACAAGGGAACAAGACGGACGGAGGGAGGGAGGGAGGGAGGGGGGAGGGAGGGAGGGAGAGAGAGAGAGAGAGAGAGAGAGAGAGAGAGAGAGAGAGAGAGAGAGAGAGAGAGAGAGAGAGAGAGAGAGAGAGAGAGAGAGAGAGAGAGAGAGAGAGAGAGAGAGAGAGAGAGAGAGAGAGAGAGAGAGAGAGAGGGGGCCGTTCTCATAAGACCTAGGATTTCCTTCTGTGTAAAACAGATTACCTCAAGCCCAGCCCCTTCCTGGGCAGAATCCCATGACTTCCTGAGCGAAAAAGTTGAATTTGGGGGTTCTGTCAGGTCAATGTCACTCCCCACAGATAATGAGCTCTGGAAAAAGGGAGACAAAAAAACACTAGTTTTGCCTGTTAAAGTTCCTGAAAACTGCTTGAAAGCTCCACACTGCAAAACACTTTACACACTGGTGGTTGGCACAGACAATTTTTCTACTTCAACATGTTTATTTGCCAAATTGACACAGCTTGCTCCTCACCTCAGAAGTGGCATTGTAGAGTCGCTCTTTGGCCTTCAACAGACTTTCAGCCACCTGTGCTTTGCGGGACTGCCTCTGTTCTGCTTTGCGCGAGTGGCCATTAGCGCCGAGTCGCCGGTCGTCCATGCTGGCTGCACGGCGTCCTGAGGCCCGGTGTCGTGTGGGAGTGAGCAGCTGCTGCAGTTTACCGGCCAGCCCACGGCTTGGAGACGACACGTTATTGTAGTTCTCGTCCACCGCCTTCCGGTTCAGTGTCTCCCGCTGCTCTGCAGGCCTGGTGGACGATGGGACCAAGGAAGGCCAAGAGAAGAGAAAATGAAGCAAAAATACATGACAACTGATGTTGTAATGTAATATATGCAATGTATTGCAAGATACATTACCTCACACTACAATGCAACAAAATGCCTACAGTATTTACTAAGATAAAACTATTAGAAACAGACCTACCCATGCTCTGCCCACACATGTATTCTTGTAGAATTGGATAAGCAGATTTACAGAACACTGACAAAATATGTTAAATATTCACACTGGAATGCTACAATGTTTGTCAACACAACACTGACTTTCTATTTACAAAATGAGCTGGTTTGTGTCATTGTAATAAATTAAAATAATGAATTTCCCAACAACTTTAACATAATCTATCACAACAGTATAACCTTAAACTAAAACACACACACACACACACACACACACACACACACATTCTAAATTTACATATCTCGACAAACATGGCATATTCCGACTTCAATGTACAATCCCTAATTATGTTAAATGGTATTTCTGCCAACTTTCTGTAAAGCTTGTCCAACCCATAGCAGCTGCAACACATTTGTAGGTGGACCATGGAAGGGTCAATTTACCGTTGTGTATAATAACACAATAATAAATTCTCAGAACTTCTGTAAACATTCTATACACCAGATTCTGAAGCCTACTTAAATTCCCACTGTCCCCTAATCTGTGTGTACCTGCTATCTCTCTCAGTCGGCTGGCATCGGCAGTCTGTCTCTGGCTCAGCGCACTCCTTGTAGAAGTTAGACAGGCAGACATCACTGCGGCGCACAAGGATACGGTCAGTAGGGGGCAGTGGAGAGGGTGTGGTGGTATCTCGACGGTAAACAGGAGGCTTTCGAGAAGCAGGGTCATCAATACCTGCATTCAGCACTGCTTGTCTAGACAACTTAGACTCTACGGTGGGGGAAAAAGGAAAACAAAAGCAGAGAGAAAGAGCATACTGAGCAACTTTTAGGTTCTGCTTCATCCCTAATGACCACTGAATTAAGTGCAGTGTACAGTGAACAGATAGAGACCTTATATCAACAAAATATATGACTTCCCAGCACTCGATTCATTTTTTTCCTTAGATATGTTTGTGCTGGTTGTTGGTTTCTCACACTACAGTTCCATACTATGTGACTTTGGCAGCATGAGGATCTTCCATCTCTTGATCCTAAGGCTTTATCTACTGTTGCATCAGATTCACTTTTTGGATATAATTCTGCCTTATCGAGCATCACATACCTCAAACATGCTAAAGAGAAACTATTCTTTTCAACTCTTACTGTATCTAGTGGAGAGGCTACCTTGCTGAGCGTTATGAAACTGCCAACAGCTCACTTAGATCTAGAACACCAGAGACCACAGCAGACAAGGCAGTTATGACCTGAAGAGCATGGTTTCCTTTGTGGTTTGCCCTAAAGAAGTTAGGGCGTATGTTATACCCTGTACCGCTCAAGTATGAAATGCACATGACACAGATGACACCTTGATTAGCATCTACGATAACATCATACTGCACTTGGGACACAGAGAGAACTCCCTCTCTGTCAGTTATTGATTGCACTGCACTCTTTACTGCAGTCTGAAAACCTGGCAGGGAGAACACCATGATATCTTGCTTCAGAGAACTCGCAGAACTCCAGGATAGCTTGCTTCACACAGTAGGCTACTTCACCCACAGCTATGGGAGGCTTCAGGCTTCTCTGGTTCAGGGCCGCTGCCAAATGTGACAATAGGATACATCTACATGTTCTTGTTACACAAACCATGAAGATGCCTTGCGTTCAAATTCACCAGTTATGGCATAAAATGACTAACTATCCACACTGGCACAGCTGTTTAAGACTTTGCCATATCATTGGGAGAAATTTGAATCCTGGCAATAGCACAATCACGAAAAGCTATTTATTGGCACACTGCAAAATCTTTCTTAGTACTTAGTAATTTCTTAGTACTAATATTTTTGGTAAATCATTAGTCATTCATCAATAGTTCATTCATTTAGTTTCTAAATATCTCAGCCTGTACAGATGCTCAAAGAGCATACATGTGCTTTACACTGCCTCTGGCAGCTATACGACATTCATAGAAACCACAATTACAAATCCAGTTTCATTTACTATATATATGAAAATTTATAAGAAGCATTTTTTATAAAATCTAAAAGCAATTATTCTTTGCCTTTTACTTACTGTCAGCTCGCATACTGCTCAGACTGTTGCTCTTAGTGAGTGGACCAGTCAATGATTCATGGCTTGAGCTTTCACTCAAACCACTCCAGCTGGTCTGGCGAATAAGAGTGGAGTGTGGACGGAGATTACAGTTGGAGTCACCTGTAGTACAAAGAGTTACTGGACGAACAGCGATAACAGGTGTACTACATATTTTGACATAAGCTGTGTCTCAAAGCCTAGCATGCGACCGAGAAAGGCTGCATTTCTTGGACATCACTGAAGCCTGTGCCATTTTGTAGTGTCCTTCAAATACAATCGTGAAAAACTGAAGGACTCAACTAGTATAACCATCGAGACCTTCACTTGTGCAATGCAACACCATTTGGAAAAAGAGGAGAAACAGCTGTGAATAGGGAGATGCTGCGACATCAGCATTTAATTTACTTTAATTTAATTTAATTTAAGTTCTAATCGTGCTGCATTGCTTACATCAGTAAGCTGTGATGTGTCAGTACGGACTTCAAATATGCATGAGCAAGCACTAGAGATGAGTCTTCATATACCAGAGCTAGCAAGAACTTTCCTCCCTTGGCTGCACTCTTCAGTTTGAGACACAACTATAATTTAGCATACATAATTTAGCATGCAAACCTTGTCTGGAGCTAACAGAGTCACTCTTTTGTCTGTGTTTTATTGGCTGCCTGAAGTGTGCCACAGCCAACAGAACATTGCGAAGCTTGGCCCAGCGAAGACGACCTCCCTGATTGGTGGATGGCCACTTACTCTCCAGCACAGCCTGCAAATGCAAGGCAGTGCATAAGTAAATGAGACAATGTGGTAGAGAAAACACACACACACACACACACACACACACACACACACACACACACACACACACACACACAGGTCATAAATTTTATTATGTATTTTACACTTTCACCTCAAACGTATTTAATCATTTACATCACTTGCAGAGTTTAAGCATCACTGGGATTTCAGTGGTATTCTTCTCTTTTAGGCACATACCTTATTGTAGTATCCATATGTGATGGTGTTAGGAGTGATTCCAGCTTTCTTCATCTCCAGCAGAACCCTGACAGCAAGCACAGGCTGTCCGTACTGCCCACACAGCTGCATCAGGATCCGATAACACACCTACAACACAACCAGCACTGCATGAGGCCAAGCAAAACTAACATCATATTTCACTCTATAGTTCTAGCATGCTGAGCCAGATTACTGTTTGGCTCTGCAGATTTGTTTGCAGAAGAAACTACAGTTACTATCATAACGGAGCCCTATGGAAACTGGGAAGAAAGCTGGGAAAGAAAAATCAGCATTTATAATGCAGAACCATGTTCTAAGTTAACATACTCCTTCTGTCTGTGAAAAATATTTAACAAAAAAAAGGTTATAGTGACAGTCAATGTTGTTAATATTAAACTGTAAAAGGATAGGTCTTGACGCTGTAAAACAACTACACAACTGTGGAGTGTAGGAAATTAAACAGGCAGGTTTGTGCACTCTATTGTGACTTTCCCTGAGACACAACAGAGAGATCTAGCGGACTATGTGGTTCGTCTATTAGCAGAATGAGGTCTCACCTCGTCCGGCAGCACCACTTTGCGTGTCTCCATATGCTTGAGCACCTCATAGGCCGTGTGCAGGGCGCGTACCTTGTTGCTCTCGGCCCGCACAAATGTGGGCAAGTAAATGAACCACAGGCCATAACAGTGGCCCAGTAGGCACTTGGACCACATGTCTGGTACTGAGGAGTACTTTTGAGCCCGCTTTTGCGCAAGCTTGATTTCCTGTACAGCAACAGAAAACATGGAAATTATACTCGGTTATCGTAGTAGAAAGCAGGCTATGTGACTAAATTAAAGTGCACACGCATGCAAAACCCTACTGAGAAAAAGGGAAGTGCAAGTTAATACATGGTTAAACTAGCCACATGTAAAATCTAAGTAGGCAGCAATTGCAAATCTATTTTTTGTCATTCGCCATGAGCAGCATGTTTCTAGAAGCTTGTATAAAATATACTACTTTTCAGTCATGACTAAGGACAAACATATCATGGAAACTTTCAGCTTTGCTGGATGTGCTGCACCACTTTTGGTATAAAACTGCCATTAGCTTTAAAAGCACATTCAAAATCTTGAGAAAAGAGAAGCCAACTTAACATATTAGAGCAGCTTTAAATCATATTATAAAATAGTTATTCTACATAACTAGTCCAAATTAACAAAACTCCGTAACATTATGCATATATCAAAAATGAAGTGACTGCACAGCAGCATTTTAAAGTAACTAGCAGCCAAAACATCAGATCGGCCAATCAAATTTGATCTTATGTTAGTGTTAAAGACACTATAAAATGGTCATTTCAATACAAATAGGCCAAAAAAACAAAACGCATCAGTTTAGAGTGTCCTTATTCATGTACTAATAATGAAAGCATTTTATTGCAGCATTAACTGGCAGCCTAGAATATCTTCTCTAAATATTTTATTAACTTTCAAGCTTAAATCTTTCATGCAAATGTTGGGGATTTTCGAGACCTTTCTGAAATAATCAATAATTGCATGCAACGTACAGAAGAATATTTAATGTCAGTTTCGCTTCAGACCCCTTCCCTGAGCGGATGAATCTGATGATTGCAAGCATGTTAAAAAGAGAACTTAGTCCAAACTTGGTGAAAAGGGATGTAAGTTATGTCATAGCTTCATCAATATAATGATGATTTGTCTTTGAGACCTAAACATCAAGCCTGACCTTCTTTGTGAACCTGTACGTGTGATGTTAATACACAAGCACAGTACACAGTACAGAGTGCAGGTTTAACACCCTGTCAGTGTGCACATAAACTGGACCAAGACATTCTTAGTTTCAGTATTTAGTAAACACTCTTATACAGAGCAAATTGATGGGAGGATGCAGATTTAGTTAATTATTGATATAGCAGTGGCGTTTCTGCCTGGATTGAGGAAATAATTGGTGGAGGGTTTGGATCAGATCTTACTGGTGACATGTACCTGTTTAGTGCGACGAGGGGCAGGGCTGTTCGGGGCACTTCCCTTAGCTGGGGTGCGGAGCTGGTCTTGCGGCCGGTCGAACAACTCAGGCTGCAGGATAGGAAATGTCTCATAGCTACACACACAGACACAGGTAAGCTTAATGACATTGCACACAGTTTAAAACAACTCAAGACAAACTCCAGATGGCATCGGTAACAGTTGGTGTATGTGTGTAGCAGGGGTCACCTGTAGAGTGCAGGACACTCTGAGCCGTCAGGTTCCTGAGGTTCCTCTGGTGGCATTATAAACACTGTGTGCTCTCCACTGTGAGCCTCATCAAGATCTATCAGCCTCACCTCCTCTGGCTTCTCCACATCCACCTACAGAGAGAAAGAGAGAGAAAGAGAGAGAAAGAGAGAGAGAGAGTGAGAGAGTGAGAGAGAGAGAGAGAGAGAGAGAGAGAGAGAGAGAGAGAGAGCAGGAAAGAGAACAGAGGGAGGAACAGAGGGAGAGTAAATAAAAAAGACAGAGAGTGTGCTCTATTAGCTCTGCTTTCCAAAAATGTTTACGGAAAAAGAGTAGAAAAACTTCCTTCAAGAAAAAATACACATCAGAAAAATAATATTACTCTGACCTTCTGAACACACTCGTCAAAGAACTCCAGGCATGCGTGTCTGTCACTGACGAAGGAGCACTCCTCTATGAACTGCGTGAACATCTGAGTCCTGGTGAGCTGAGAGTAAAACTTCTGCTGTGTCCGCTCTCGTGACTTCAGGAAACCTTATCACAATAGAAGCATCAAAAATTTACATAGGAATATTAGTGTGATTCATTCCTCTAAATAGCTTCTTATCCTAGACAGGAGAAACAACATATTACAATGTTAATAACACTGCTGAGTGACTATTATATATGATGAATCTTTAAGGCATTTCCACAAGAAAGTCAGCACAAAGTAACTTACTAAATATGCCACTGACAAAATAATTCATAACAATTAACACCATACTGCAATAGCCTTTAGGAATGAGGTGTCAGACTCCAGCCCTTAATGCTACAATGCTGTAATTTAACAAACCACATTCAACATATCAGCTAATTACTAAGCCCTGCATGGGTGTAATTGGGTGTAACAGAGCAGAGTAAACACTAAACTCCACAGAGGTTCTCTCAGAACTGAGTTTGAGATCCTTTTATTAAAGCATCAGTTTAATGACACATCAAGTATATACAATTTTACCTTACCAACTGTAGCTGATCAGCCAAGATTAGCTACATAAGATATTTGGTGTCCAAAGATGGCTACTTTAGTTCGGCAATGAAACTACGAGGGCAATGAAGCTAACAACCGATGTAAGCTTATTTACACCAATTAGGACATTAGTACATACTGAGACATATTTACAGCCAAGTATGTATAAATTATCAAACACTTGCCTCAGACTTGGTTATGAGGTTTATGACACTGTATGACATGCTGTTATCCATAAAAATAAACAAGAGTATGGAAAACAAATTAGGTTTCCAAAGGGCCGTTTTTAGTTACGTCACTCAAGTATGGACTTGTATTTCTTGTTTTACTGTATAAACAGAAATCTAGCTAACCTCCCTTTATTAGAAAAACGGTCAGCGTTCTCTAAACAGTATTCTTCTATACCAGGGGTCGGCAACCTAAATGTTAAGAAGAGCCATTTGTCCTTTCAACAAAAATCTAACCACCTTGAGAGCCACAGCATTTTATGCATCTCAAGTTCATCTTACCATCTTGGCTGTAAATATGCCTCAGTATGTACTAATGTCCTGGTGTAGGCTAAAAATATAAACAAAAATGCAGACTTATTTTGCTCTGTTTTAAGCTTCAGCTCAGCTATAGCTGCCTTTCTCGCATCTCAAGCAGGAAACTTTTCCTCAAAAGTAGAATAGTTTCTTGTAAAATGTCTCGTTAGACTTTTTACGAGTCTGAAGTCAGCTTCTCATTCGCCCAATACTTTTTCCCCGTTCTCCGAATGATCCACGTTCGTCTTAGATCTTTCTCTTTGCCTTTTTGTTAGCTACTAGCTAGATGAGACTGTTGCCTGCGTTGCTATGTGACCAGTAGTCTGCGTCTCAAGCTTCAAAGCTGGTGAATTAGCAGTTATAGGCTACGTTAACTGCAATGTTTAAGCCTATTTATTGTTAAAACTGTGTTAGAACGATCAGCAGAGCTTTATTTTACTGCAAAGGAGGATTATTTTATTTTCAACCAAAAAATCTAATTCTGCTGTAGAGCTGCAACAGGGCAGCAAAAGAGCCGCATGTTGCCGACCCCTGTTTTATACAGAGCCCCTCATGGTGATGCTGTTTTTTTGAGCCCATATCCATTACTACTTCACACATTTTACACACAATACTGGTTTTGAGAATAATCACCCCGGTTAAAGCAGGCTAGCAGTTAACAACAGAAAAATGCAAGTGCAATGGGTAAATCATTTGCTCTGTGCTCATTCCAGAAACTCAATCACAATGATGATAAAAACATGATTAATCATGCAACTCTACCAAATTAAGACAGCCTTTGATTGTAATTTGATTTTTTGCCAAACTAACATTTTAACTGGCTGACACTGATACACAATTGGGAGGTTGAAACCAGCTCTGGAGGTTACCTTGCAAGTTAAAGAGGGAGCTGCAGTCGGTGGTTCTGTCAGAAGGAGCCTGAGTGATAGGCAGGAGGAAGGAGCGGTAGCCTTTCAGCAGGCAGCTCATGAAGCGCAGGAAGGCCTCCTGGATCTCCAGCTCCAGCTGCTTCTGACGCCCATAGATCAAATCATAATCTGTCAGCAAGAACTCCAGAGTTGCCTCCTCTTGACCAGGGGTACAGACTGGGGGTGGGGAATAAGAGTTAGAAGAAAAGAAAGAAAAGTTTAAAGCCATTTGACAATGTGAGTTATCCACCCTGTTCTCTTCTCTCAGATTTGCTACCTGGTGTAATTCACACTGATTTGTGCTACAGATCTATTTTCACACTCACTTTTTTCCAGAGTTTTGTGCAGGTTGGTGAGGGAGTTGAGCAGGATTTTCCCATGTTTCCTGGGTAGAGATCTCCATGACAAGGGCTTCTTATCTTCCGATCTAAAGATGGCCATGTTTGTGTTATTTGATTATGATTGGAAGTTCTTTCACAAGTTGTCCACATTGCTAAACTGAACTGTTGTTGTGATCATTGCTTTTTGCTTGCAACTGCAGTAGCCCTGCTTCTGTGTCATTGTGCCACACTCAGCACCAAACACCTGCAGCACTGAGCACACTGGGCTGTTTGTGTCATCAGTTGCCAGGGCAACAACAGGCAGCAAAACTCACTGGAAAATGGTGTTGGTGTCAAGGTCCACACACACCACATCTGAGGGGGGGTCGTACAAGTCAAAGTAGCTGGAGTGAACGCCCACAATGAAGGGCATGGGGGCACACAGCACATCCGCCAGCCGCAGAGGACACAGCGGGATGTACGGACAGTGCCAACGCAGCGGAAACGTCATCTGAAAGAGTGGGTGAAAGAGGAAGGAGGTGAGAGAGGTAAAGAAACAGAGACATAGAAAAAAGAGCTGTTGACATTGGCAGATGTCAAAATCAGCCAAAACTAAACTACTGAGAGCACTGACTTAAAATAGTAAGTAGCTCCTACTTTGAAAGTGGTGCTCCAAGACGCACGCACAAAAAAGACCACACAAGTTTTACTGCTGCACACACAAAAACTACAAAGGTTGCAAAAAAGTCTTGTTGTTTTGACTTAGAACACTGGGCTACCTTAAAGTCTAAGTCAACTGAACTTCTAATTAACTAGTTAAGTTGAATAATTAAGATGGCCCAGTTACTAGCTTTTCTTAATCAGTGCTAGTTTTGTTTCAACTGTGGTACTCTTTTCAGACTGAATAGAGAGAAAGAGTGAGGAAAGGGGTAGAGGAGGAAAGAAGGAAGGTTTCTGACCGACACCAGGGCCTCGCTGACTGATGTGAGCACGTCCGGCCTCAGGGAGTGCAGCAGCAGCTTGTGCTCTGTGAGTACGGCCAGCAGAAGAGCACATGCATTCTCTGCGCCCAGATTCTGCAGCAGCTTCACAAAGCTGGCCCCACTGCAGCCATACAACAAAACAAAGGGCATGTTTAACTCACAGAAATGTTACTTAACACTACAATAGCTTAAAGTATTTATTGCATAATCATGAGACTGCTGAAAAACAATATCATTGTCAAATCTGTTACAAAGTATCACATGTGAGCATTATAGAGCTTTACTCCATAGCAGGTATTTTCACTAAAGGTGATATAATTGCCAGTCAGTATAGCTTATGATATAATAGTTTATAATGATAACTGCATTCTGCACAGATGACATGTAACACTTAACATTCGGTGATTTCGACACGTTCAATTTGGATGGAAGCCAAAATGTTGCCAACTTGGCAGGCTGGCACCCTTCTTTTGGATAAATTCTTTGCCATTCGGAAAATCTATTTTATAATCTTTCCATGTGGCACAAAGTATGTATGTGTGTAATTCATTAGTTGGAAATGTTCTGTTTGTATAGCCTACAGAGAACAAGAGAATGATAACTTGCACAATATCAGAACAAATTATCACAACATATCCATATCAATTATCGGCTGAAGGCTACTCTTCATCATAATTCAATTCAGTTGTGTTCACTATTTCATTTTTCTGGTGTTTTTGTATTTTCCACTTTGCCTATAAATACAATGAAGGCTGTTTAAAGACCGGATGTATTTTCCAGCTTCAGCTTTTCATAGAGCTTAACAGCATTATATATCTAGTTTCCACACACTTCGACGCTCACCGCAAATCCCTAACCTGTTTGCATATCTTATCATTTCATCTCATCACCTTAGAACATCAACAAGATGCCTCTGTCAAGAAATGTCAACAAATGCCTCTCGTGTTTTTGTTACTATTGGATAATTAATTTAATTAATTAACCTTTACCTATTATGTAATCAAAAGAATTTAAAGGATAATTTACGAGCCACTCATGAAAGAAAACATCATGGACTGTCCAGGCCTTGTGTCCACAATCAGACTATACAAATCCACAGTCAACATCACTTGGGGCTCCAGCCAATTCTAAGTCCAGTCCAGCTTCCTACTAGTCCTGGGACTTGTCATGTTCAGTGAATTCAACTTAAGCTCCACAATTCTCAGCCAGATGGTCGCTGTTCACACAGCTCTAGCAAAGCAGTATGCAGAGACAGAGCTCTGATAAACATCTATGGATCAGCGTCCAAATCTTTTCAGTCTGAACATGAAGCACAGACAAGCAAGGCTGAAGCACAGCCAGGTTTACCTCAGGGGTAAGGGCGAGGACACCGGCTGGCACAGCAGGAGGTTGTCATATGGAGACAGCTGTGAAAAGAAGAAAACATTTAAAACAGTCAGTCTGACCCACCAACAGCTCAGCTGCCCCACCTAATCAAAAAGACACCCACCTTCACCAGACTTTAACTAATTACTTACTCATGAATTAGAGAAGTGAATAATTAATTTGGACTAAACTGAATGGAACAGACAGAAGATTTTGCGATTGGACCCAAATGTATTAAGATCAGTTGTAGTGATTACAGCGATTGTGGCAGTTTTCTGATGATTATATCACACTAGAGCCCTTGTAGAACCCTCTTTTACCCTGTTACTTGACTTTGTGGCCTTTAAGCAGTGACTCCTGTAGAGGAAGTGGGGTAGTTAGTGATATCCACACACATTTATAACTCCAGAAACACAACAAAATCTCTCAGACAGCAAGGACAGCCAAAAAATCTACAGCTAAAAAGCTGCAGCAATCTGATACAGACAACACAATGAATATCTTAAACATCATTTGTGAGTGTGCCATGGATAACATACTATATTAAGATGTAGCTCTTAGTTTAGAGATTTACACGCTGATGAATTATATAGTGTATGTCAAAGAGTTCCAGTCTAAATCCTAAATGAAGGAAGGAGTGCACTGGTCTCACCTGCACCAGTATGCGTGGGCGCTGAGGGGAGGGAAAGGGCACGTTGTGCATGAAGCTGGATATATGCCTGCAAAGAGAGCAAAATAAACTTTTGTTAGGCCTCTAATAGACATAAAGACCAGCTGATGTGGCATTGCTCAGTGTGCAGACTGGCATGTGTGTGATAACTATACCTACATTACTCTGCAAAAGTCAGAGGCCACAATTTATTTATTTAATTTATGTCATTTCATGTTATTTATTGTCAAGTACAAGTTAGGTACAAGTTCTTTTTTTTTTGCATCATGGAAAAGAGAAAACATACACAGAAAAAAATACACAGAAGCTTCAACAACTAAATGTAACAGCCAGTTTGGGAATCAATGTGAAAACCACCAAGTGATAAATTATGAGATCCCAGTCTGAATAAGTTACACTTACTTTTCAATAGGCAGCACATGAGGTCCAGAGATGGAGTACCGATAGACGAATGTGAGGAACTTCTGGAAGACGGTGAAGAAAGGCCAGTGTGAAAGCACACACACGCTCTTCTTCACCTGTACTGTACGGTTAGTGATGGGCCGGCGGTCAACTACGCTGACCAATCCCAGTCGCACCCGCTGCCTCTCAGACAGAGCCTCCCGTGGGTATGCCTCATAAAACTGGATAGCAGCTCCATACACCTGAAAGAGAGTAAAAACACAGAGCAGATCAGATAAAATCACATCAGATCAAAGCAGAGAAGACCAGATGAGGGCAAATAAGGTAGTGCAACTGCGAATGAACTTGTAGTGTATTTCCTTAACATTCTACATACTTAACCTTTACATTTGATTTACTTAACGTTTGTATTACACTTATTTATGATACATATTATATTTTATTTTGAACCTTTAGTGCATTTATTTCAGGAGTATGTCTAAGTCATTTTCTACTTTATGCAATCCTGCTATACAGTGCCATGAAAAAGTATTCGCCCCTCCTTATGGTTCCATTTTTGAATATCTGCCACACTTAATTGTACAGATCTTCAAATAAAGCCTGAAAACAGAGTGAACACAAAATACAGTTTTGTTACTGCTATTTTATTTATTGAAAGGACAAAAGTGATCTGTACATAACTGGCTCTGTTTGTAATTAAATTGTCCCTACATAATAAACCAATCAACCAAATTTAGTTGATAATTATATACAAATTAAGCTAGACACACCCAGGCTTTATTACTGCCTGCTCAGTCGAATGAAAACTTCACTTAAAAACAAAAGTGCTACATAACGTTCATATGACACATGTGGACATTCAGACAGATTGCAATACAGGAAGCGTTGGGGCGATATTGCCTCTGTTGTTTCATTGGACCAGAAATGAAGAAACTGTTTGTTCCACAGATGGACCTTTAATACGGTGCTGACAAGTGCAACATGAAAAGAAATGGCTGATAGCATAATAGTTCAATTAGCTGATAAATCAAATAATATTTAGCAGATGAACTGATATAAGAAATAATCTCTCATAGAAAACCACATGAGAGAAGAGTGTGGGGACAGGTGAAACAGAGAAACCTTTCTTTTGAGTTCTAGGTAGAGAAGGTGTCAATGCAGGCTGACCTTGTCTCCAGAAGCACTTGTGAGAACAAAAGTGGAAAAGACAGGCAGCTGGTACTTGGTGTTAAGCGGCCAACTCTCCACGGTGACGCCCATAGGTAGGCAGAAGACCGGGACAGAGTCTGGTAGAGGAAACGACTCCAGATCGTCCTCAGGATAGCGGCTGATCAAACCTGAGAATCCAACACACAACCACACAGCTCAACAAAGCATCCACGTGATAACATACTGTCAATGCCTGCCAAAGAGAGGTCAACTGGCCTCAGAAGACTTCCATGGAAAATACAGGTCAAATGAAACCTCATGCAAACCGTTCCTTTTCAGGGCTGTTATCTAGTCTCATTTCTGTCTTTTTCACCTCTGCCCACCTGAGCTCGTGGGTGGTTTGGTTAAAACCACGACCACAGCAGGCAAGGAGGAAGAGGAAGTTTCACTTACCTGCCTCATACACTAGGGCGTTGGCTTTGGCTACAGAACGCTTATAGCAGAGGTACAGCGCTGGGCCCCACTGAAAAACATAGACACACCTTTCACTGTCAACTGTTTTTCAAATGAAAACAAACAAACACAAGAAAGACTAAACCACAGAAAAAGCACAAGCAGGAAGAGGTTCAGAGAAGTAACATGCTAGAAAAGAAGAGCAGAAGAAAACATGAGAAAGAAAGAGAGACAGGCAGATAAAGAGAGAGTTAGAGAAAGAGAAGAAAGAGTGAAAGAAATAGTGAAAGAATGAAAGAGTGAAGAACAAAAACACAAACTGAAAATGTAGAATAAATGAACAAATGAATGAATGAATGAATGAATGAATACAGGAGGCAGAACAGTCTAGAAAAATCAGGTAAGACAGGAGAGTAAGCAGGAATAAGTAAGGAACAGAATGAGTGAGAAAGAGAGAGAGAAAGAACGAAAGAAAGAAAGAAAGAAAGAAAGAAAGAAAGAAAGAAAGAAAAGGGGAGAACACAATCTAAAAAACAAGATAGGGAGAACAGAAGAAAAAGTGAGAAAAAGTAATGAAAACAAAAAGAAAATGAGAAAGGGGAAAACAAAACAAAGAAAGATAAAATGCAAGCAATCAATCACAACAGCAAGTAAGAACGAAAAAAAGAACTGTTAGGGAAAACAAGCAAGAAAGTGACTGAGTGCGCGAGTGAGCAAGAGTGAATGACTGAACGAGCAGTACCATGCCAGTGTTGAGGTTCTTATCCACTCTGCAGAAGGTGTGTAGGGCCACCTCGCCCTTGCTGGGCATCAGCAGAGAGATGTCGGTGACGCCCAGTGTATTGAGGGCCTGCGAGTCGGGGGCTCGACGGTACATGAGGAAGGTCCGGTGGGTGGTGGGTCCTCCTGAGCTCAGGCTGGCTGAACGGCTGTACGGTGTCGTCTCCATCACCTGCCAACCCTGCTTCACCGGCTCTTTACCCTCATACAGAACACTGTACAGGACAGGGAAGCACTTTTATTACAGAACTCTATACACTTCGCAGAATCAATCTCATAATGTAAGATTTAAATGAAGATCATTGAACCATGTGTTTAAGAGTGCTTTCAAATGGGAATGCACTAGTATGAGAATGCCAATGCCAATACATCAACATGTTCAAAGCGCAGAAATTGGGACTAGATACACTTGGATTAAATATCAGTCGTAAATTTCAGTCAGATCTAATCATCTGTTTGATGCCCATAGTTTTTTAAGCAATCATCTACTGGTACTAATATGATGCAGACATCATAGTGCATTCCCTTCTTTCAAATGAAGTAAATTTAGGGGCATTGCTATTCAACCAATTGCAACAGCAATTACAATGCCTATACGCAACAACTGCAAAGATTTTGGATGTCTTTTGAGTATATAGGTATCTGAACTCATCTTTGTATACATTTTCTTAATCGGGCATACAAAATAAGGTCTGTGCAGTTTGGGATGGTTTGTTTTGTTTTTAGATTTTTAAATCCATTTTTTGCAACTGAGAACTACAGAGAATGTCTAGACAAACAGCTGATAGTCCGTTTCACATTAAAGCAAAATGGAAACATGCGAATGAAGCTGTATATCGTTGCGGTCGAAGAAATCAAATGAACTCAATGTTAAAGTTCCTGCATGTTTTATGGTGTCATCATAATACAAAATATTTTCTCATTAGGACAATAGTATTTGTTTGAAAATGCAGATATGCTAATAGCAAAAACTGTTTAAAAGCTTTTCCCCTAATACTGATATTGTGAGGTGTTTGTGTGTGGGAGTATCTGAGTGAAGGGCCTTCTGTCTCCTACCCCAGCTCTAGAATGGGTGGTTTGTCGTAGCCTCTGCGGTAGCACAAGAACATGTGTGGGTTGTTGATGAGGCCGGCACTGAGTTCGGCCGAGTGGCCGCCCTGCGTCTTCTCAATGCATGTGAAGCCTTCGGGCACCTCCTCGCCGAGGCCGCGGGCGATGACGGCCAGGTCAGTGACGGGCTCCGCGGCACGCCCACCTCTCTGCTGACACTCTTCATCTGGAGCAGAGTCACCCGCCAGCCCCGCCACCACGAAATAATCCACCAACTGAGGACATCTCTCCTCAGTCATACCGTCTATCTACCCACCACTGAGAGAGAGAGAGAGAGAGAGAGAGAGAGAAGCAAACTGAATTAAATTGTAATCTAGATGAACCACTACAAGATCAGACTTACAGCCAAAAATTAAGGGCGTAACAATTTCAATAAAGTATTAAAAAAAATCTAATTGATAAACATTGGAAACACACACACACACACACACGCACACACACACACATTTTCTAAGCTGCTTATCCTTCGCAGGGGAGCTGGAGCCTATCCCAGCAGTCATGGCAGGAAACACCCTGGACAGGTCAACATTCAAAACAGTGTATCGAAAGTTAAAACTGCGTCTTGCTGTTGTCTTTAAAGGCAAAAAATCAAATTTACGCAACTGTTCACTCACCCCAGATGTAGCTGATCAGCCAAGGCATGCTTTGTGACCAATTTACGCTTCTTTAGTTTAGCACTGGAGCTACAATTCTAATGTTGCTAACAAACATAAGAGATCACCCAGAACGTTTCAGTAAATACATCTCTAAAACTTCTCTCATCCCACTCAAAGCACATCCAGGTCTTCATTAAGGTTGTGCAGACCAGTCGTGTGGTTTAGGACACAGTATGACTTACTGTGAAATATAAAATTTAACAAAACTTCATGTACCCAAATGCTGTGAGCAACCACTTCAGACAACATGGTTTGTTAGCAATGTTAGCCTCAAAGCTCCAGCACTAGACTAAAGAAGCAAAATTTGGACACCAGGCATGGCTGATTGACAACATCTGCGGTAAATGGAAAAATCGCTTGATTTTTCACGAAACCATTCCTTTAATAAATACTGTATGAGGTACAGCATTTCCACTTACTGACAAAATCAATGCGTGATTAAAGCAAAGTGGAGAGTAAAAATAGTGCTGCTGGTGTGTCAGTATACCAGTAAAAAGCTTGTTACATAATCCTCTATTAGCATGTGTATGTGCATGTGCTGGAATAAAAGCAAAACAGTCAGCTGTTTCTCAGTCTTGTTCCCCTCTCTCTGACTGATGGCTGCCGGCTGGCCTGAAGTTCATCCTGCACGCTTCCTACAATCCATACACGTATCCTGTTATGCAGCCAATGAGCCTGTAATTGCCAACCATTTTCTGCCATTTACTCAAATGAATCCTGTCACGTTCCAGGGCAAAGACAGATCTGAGGTTATTAATGTAGTGTACAATACGCCTACAGTGTGACTCTTCACTAAGCTAAACCAAAGGTACTAACAGACACAGGATCACAACAGCACACTCTTCTCTGCATTATAACAGTGAACAGTGTTTAAAGTTTGGCAAGATCAAACGTATGTACATTTTTTTTTTTCACAACTACTTTGAAATAAAATTACTCTTTTGTTCATTGCTCAAATTCATCCAGGTTAGTTAGTGTTGCTACTTTGCTTGCTGCAAATTATTACAGTCAGTAATTTGTCTTCCTGATTTACGACACTCCAGTGTTTCTCAACCAGTGTGTTTTGAGTTGTTGTTCTGCTAAAAGACCACCAGTCCTGAGAAGACTGCACGTGCTTGCTGCTTAAAAGCTTTCCCTTAACATGATGCTACCACCAAAAGATTTTACAGTGGGGAGGGTATTAACTGGCGTTGTCCATTTGTACTGCACATACTGCTTAGTATTCAAGCAAAAAATGTTAGTCTGATCAGTCCATAAGACTTTCTGCCACATCTCTGCAAATTCATTCTGCAAATTCTTTTAGGTTAAGGACATGTTTTGGTTGGGCTGAAATGAGCTCTGAGGTATATTCAGTCCATTTGAGATTGCATAGCCTTCCCCAGATTTGTGCTTCCCTTTTTTCACTTAATTTTTGTTTGTTCTAAAGGTGAGCTCTACCACACGATCGGACCTCACAAAGAGACCTTCAAGAATTATTTAGAAACAGCTCATCTACCAGTTTCTTGCACAGATGCTGACCATTAACAAACTAAGTAAGTGGTAAGTTAAATACACTAAAAAGTTATGCTTATAATTCCAAAGGATTTGAAAACATGAATCCTTTTTAAAATCTAACAAATATGAGGTCAAATGTTTTGGTCTTTTTCTTTTGATTTGATATGATGTAAATTGTTTTGTAAAAAGATAATATTCTGCATTTTTATTTTGTAAACGTACAATCTGCAACAGTAAAATATGAAATCAGTTTCTATGACTGAGGAATGCAAGTTGTTAGTGACATTAGGATCATAGTTCCAGTGAACAACTACACTGGCAATAAACTGTGTCAATCTGATTTTTCCCCTCAAACCACTGCTTTACGTCAGACAGGAAGCTAACCTGCTTTCTACTGACAAGAACTCCTTAACTTACTGACTCACACACTCATGCACACTGTAACCAGCATCCTTCTAACGACACGGACACATGAATGAGGGAATCTGTGTCACAGAAGAGATTTGTAAGCAAAACAGCATCACAGCCACACCTTAAAAAAGAAATATTTTCTGGCAACACTTGATTAATATTGGGTGAATCAGAGGTCCATGTGAGAAAAGTGGTAAAGCACAATGTGACAAATGAGGCAAAAGAGAAGAGCTACATCAGACACACAGCCTCTGTTCAGCTGTTTCTTTCAAGAAAGAAAACAACACGCATGTGTTTGTTTACTACAATAAAGTCACATTTTATTACACGGTTGACTTAACTGTAAAGAATAAAGTTTGGACAGTTTGTCTAAGTCATTACTGAATCACTGAGCATTACAGGTTCAGCAGAGTGAGCAAACTGAAACAAACTTCTTGCAAGTATGAATAAAAGGTTTCACACAGATGCTACTTCCTGTCAAGACCAGACAGCTAGCACAACCGAACACCAGAACTACATATGATCTTAAACAGTATTAGAATTTAATGGGTATGGGTATGACGCACAGCAGCTTAGGTGAGTGAACTGAATAATCAAGTATTCCTTCATTACAACCGATTATTACTGGATGGTGAAAAAGACAATCTTGAATGGACTTCAAAAAGTCTGGAGAAATCACAGCTTTCTCCCACCTAAAGCGGACACAGATCATGTTGTTGCTCCTACTTCTCTATTATTTAGGTGAGAGACGTAAGAGAATTCACGCAAGTCAGCCGGCAGAACAGCTCTCTGGAGACTTCTCATGGAACCACAGATAATCCAGGACAGAGCTACTCTGTACTCTGTATGGCATAGTGATATCACTTGATTTCATGCTTATCTTAACCCTAAACTTAACCACAACCACAGCCCTCACCCTAATCCCAGCCCTAATCTGAAGCCTCAATGAGGGGAGGGCAATAAGGCAAAAAATAATGATGCAATAATGCATTACGAGAAGATATTTTTACATGACACCATATCTATATCGAGCTAGTTGGTGTTTCTGAGGTTTGTGAACAAGTAGGAATGGACAAAATACCCCAGCAAAACAGCAGTGGCACATTTAATCAAGAAAAAACTGCACTTTTATAATAAAAGGACAATCATTTTTTTAATCTATATTCAATGTGATAAGGAACAGAACAAAAAGCCAAACAACTGGTATTTACAGATGACACAATCCATCTTTCTTTTCCAAGACAGATACTGAAAGTATCAGCTGATACCAATCCTAATCCAGTCTTTTTTTTTCTAAATTATAAACTACTTCGCTTTAAAATGAGCCATTTTTTATTGGAGCACTTCACTTAAGATGAGCATCTACAAGTACAAGGCTGTAATGCTCATACTATCCAAACACTCTACTACAACACAGGAGGAAAGTTATTCATTTAGTTAGTTATTTATTTAGTTATTTATTATTTATTATTTATAAGGTTACAAATGCACAAAAATAAATAAAATGCAGAGATTCCAGAGCATGGAAGTCCAGCATTTGCTTAATATTCTGCTCCTCCAAAGTACAATAAATACATCAACAAATATCAGTCAAATGTAAACATCTGTCCTCTTGTGATTTTTAGAGCAGTTATCTGCCAATATGTACATGATTCTGATATCATGGTGCATCACTAACAGATACCTGGTACCAGATCAGTGCCAACCCTACTGGTAATAAATAAATAAGAATAAATCAATTTGTCTTTATGATAATTACACTTATTCAGTGTTCTAAATTACTGACGATATCCGCTATGAACTGAGAAAAGCATATCATGCAAATTATCATAATAATCATAACATATTCCCTAACGTACAACCTACCACTACTCCCGATCTAAATTACTTTAACCTCTTAAATTCCCAGGCTTATTGCATGCTAAAGCTTATTATTCAGTAACTACATGAAAAGCAATGCAAAGTGACTTAGTTTTTCTTTACCAGACTGAGGAATGGAAGCCTTAGCCCTGCTGGTGGACTTGGCCCATTTAAGAGATTAAAGAACTGTAAAATACAAGCCACTAAAATAAGGGCTGTGAAGGTGGTGATCAATGGAAGTGATGGTTGCATGATTAGTTACAGTGTAAACTTCAGCACTGCTGGAATATTCATGTTGCACTGCACTCTCAACTCAACATCTACACTACGTTGCCCAACTTCCCTTCTCATTAGAACAGAATGGTTGCATGGCAACAAGCTGAGAACCAGAGCATGTGAGTGTATGAGAGCGTGCCTGCGTGTGTGTGCGGCTCAGAGCCGCTGCAGGCAGGAACAGAGATGACATAATTAGAGGACCTGCGATAACAAAAGCAAGAGAGGATCCTACAATGAGGCCACAGACAGATAAACTTTCACACAGCATGTGCAGACAGAAGAACAGACTCTAAACCACTATGAGCCAAAGTTAAGGACCGTACTACTCCAGGCTAGTAGAGTCTAAATTTAAAGCACTCTAGAAGTGCTGATTTCTCCATAATGAGCGGATGAACTACGTACATATTTGCAATATTGGCAAGAACATTTTCAGTTTCTCTCATTTGCTTAAAAATCATCTCTCAATCTCAGCTTCAGAACAGCTGAATCAAATCTCAAAGCACATTCTCATTCTACAAATAAACACATTTTACCTCTGACAGCACCCAAAATTCTTTGCAC